GATGTGCCCAAGTCTTAGGTGCCAAAGATATGCTTGATTCATCTGCGAAGACTCCTACCTTCTATTAGATTTAGTCATGACATTATTCAATTCAGTTTGTTGAACTGTGAGATAGTTTGGTTTAAGAACATACAAATTGCCAACTAATGAACCAGAACAAATCAAACGATTTCCATAACGAATAATAACCAACTCATCAAACGTAATTGAAAAACCATCCAAAACAAGTTTAGAAAATGAAACAAGGTTCTTTCTAAAACTTAGAACATAAATGCAATGTCTCAAAACCAAAATACTATTATCCAAAGATAAAGTAACGTCTCCCACTGCAACAGCCGCCACTTTCATAGAATTGCCCATGTAGACGGTGATCTCTCCCACCTTAAGTCATCTGGTTTCCCGGAACCCCTGCAAAGAGTTGCAGACATGAAAAGTGGCTCTAGTATCTACACACCAGGTTCTAGTAGATACAACGGCTAAACATGTTTCTACGACATTAATAAGAGAGTTACCTTTCTTAAGGAGAGGGCAGTCGACCTTCCAGTGACCTGACTTGTTGCACTTGTGCCATCTTCCTTTCAGTTTCATTGCCACAGCCTGAGGAGCCGGTCGCTGGGCAACTGGAGCATCATGTGCCTTCGTCTTTCCTACAGAATTCTTTCTCTTCCTGCCCTTGTGAGGCCTGGCAGGTCCAACCTGCTCGGCGTCTAGCATCTGAGGGTTCTGAGTGAACAAGGCTTCTACCGACTGAAGCTCAGCCAACAGTTCTAGAAGAGCCATATGCATCTTGTGCATGTTGTAGTTCAACCGAAACTGGTTAAAGCTCTTCGGCAGACACTGGAGCATAATATCAACCTGAGTTTCCCCGTCAATAAAACCTCCCATCACCTCAAGCTCATTTAGCTACGCCATGAACCTTAGGCCGTGCTCCCTCACGGGTGTGCCCTCGGCTATGCGCGTGTTCATCAGAGCACTCAAGGCTTCCAGCCTGTTTATCCCATTTTTGTTACATTTTCGTGCGTGTTTTACTTTTCTTTTTCACCCGTTTTAGGTCATTTCTTTTGTTTTTAGTGCATTTCGTGTTGTATTATGTGTTTTCCTTCATTTTGAGTCTTAAGGTGTTTTTCGTTTGTTTTTCCAGGATTCTTCGTGTTTTGTCTTTTATGGTGTGTAGGTTGGGAGCTTCGTGCGAATTTTATCAACAGTAAAAATTGATTTAGAGAGAATAATTAAATATATGGGTTCGTTAGTGATGCATAGAAAAAAACGTAACTTAATTCTGAGTTCGGACGAGCCCAAACGATCCCGAAACGTAAAGTCATGCAGTGCAGCCAAAGTCGCGACTCGCGAGCACAAAGTTACGACTCGCGAAGTCGCGACTCACGACTTTACAGAGCTAAAGTCGGGACTCACGAACGCAATGTTGCAACTCGCGACTTTAACAGAGCCTCCCAGCGACCCCACGACCCGGTAGATTGCGAGTCGCGACCCGTTCGACCCTGTTTTTATTTTTGCTCGTTTTTTCTCATTTTTGCTCCGTTTTCTGAGCACTATATATTGAAAAGACCCCTAGACTCGTGGGAATAATCCCAAAACTTGTTTTTCCTCTTTCTCCTACTCTAAAACTCGAATTTGGATCGTTCTATTTGCTCTATTCTCTCTTGACTTTTTCGGATTAAGTTGTTCTTCGGATTTGACTCTCGTTTCTCTATTAATCGTAAGTTATTATTTTCATCTAATTCTTGAATACGAATGCTTGGGTTGAGAAGAATTTTTATGTTGAATTCATTATGAGTAGCTAATTCGTTTCGCTAGGGATAGGGTATGATGATGATGTTTAGATTTCGATTATGATTATCATGCTTGTTGATTGTTCAATTTATGCGAGTTGTTCCTAACTAGAGTTTATAATGCTCGTGCATTGAATGTCGAATACTGTCGAAGAGTGACACTTCGATTTGCAATTGATTTCCAATTGAATATGATTCGTTCTTGTGTAATGTCTTTTAAATCTATCGAACTAGTAGATTAGCAATCGTCTAGGATAATTAAATCAACTCTTAGAACCGAAAGGGGAGGAGTTTATTGATCTAGGCTCGTATGAAATAGACTTGTTCGGAAACGTGTTGTTTAGGTGTTGTGTGATTTGTTTGATTTACCGTCTATGTTATCCTCTTGTTACGAAGAGTTATTGAGGACTATATCTAGACGTTAGGTTGTTCGAATTGTTTAACCGAATGATCTTAGCTTGATATTTGCTTTGGTTAGAAAATCATCATCCCAGACTCCTTAGCTTCTTTATCATTGTCTAGTTTGCATTTTAGGTTGATCTATGTTCTTATATTATTTCTTAGTTAATAATTAATTCCAATCACCTTGATTGGTATGTTTAGGATTTATTTTGATTTTGTGGGCTATCAAAACCATTCCTAAATTCTGAACCACCTTCCTCGAGAGATCGACCCGAGGTCGAGAGTCATCACGTACTTGGTAAAAATATAATTTGCTACAACAAATTTGGCGTTGTTGTCGGGGAAGGCAAGTAGGATATTTAGTTTTGGTATTGATTTTATTTTCTGTGTCTCTCTTTGTTTCGTGTTTTTCGTGTTTGTGTTCTTTCTCTTCATCTTTTTTTTTTCTCTTTGTTTTTGTTTTTTGTCTTCTTTTTCGTGGCTTCGCATGGTTGTTCTGTTCTGGTGTGCAGGGAATATGAACGTCAACTGTGTTCTCTCCTCCCTAGATACTCTTTACTGGAATAATGGGTTGAGTTACATTTTTGGGTACTACAACCAACCTTATCCTTCCGAGCAGCAATAGAATTTGGCACCGGTTGAGCAGACCTATGAACATCAGGAGCGATCCTCAGAGCATAATGAGAAGCTCGACCGGATTCTTACATTTATAACAGCTCGAGAAGATGAGGTCGTATTCAACGAGAAACTTGATCTAATCCTCGATCGGATGATGGCCCAAGGAAACCGAGAAGATGAGGTAGAGCTCAGATGTGCCCATTTGAGCGAGCAATTGGAGAGTCTAGGAAAGCGCATCGACTCTATCGAGTCACAAGCCGACGAACCCATGGTTGTGGACCCACAATTCGGAGCCCATGCCTTTCGCTGAGCTCGAGGATGACTCTTCGGGATACAATGCTAAACTTGATCTCGTCCTTGATCAGATGATGGTGCAAGCAACTCGAGATGAGGAGATTGAGCTCGGATGTGCCCTACTGAGCGCACAAATGGAGAATCTTACAGCACGAATAGACTCAATCGAGGCACAAGTTGACGACTCCCACCTTATGCTTGATACTCAAGCTCGTATTCCGAAGCAAATGTGTGAGGCCGAAGAAGAAGGTGATGCCCTCCCAAGAGCCGGGAATGATACATCAGAGGAGGAGGTCCATGGGCTTGACCAAGAATTCACAGATTCTCAAGTTCCTCCTCCCACCTCAAAGTTAGAGCATCCATCTTCGAGGCCATTGCACTGTGTTACGAAGTGGGTTGGACTTAGCTCGAGTTGCTCCACTGATGTGCTTATAATTCTGGAGGATGACGATAGAGCTCGGGTGGGAAAAGCTCTATGTTGGTTACTGGGGATTGCTCGTGTTCAACCCCGTTTAATTAGGAACATAACCACCCAGATCCACCGTGACTGCCTTCTTGCCACACTGTCCATGCTACCACTACTAGAGAATACAAAGGCGTGGCACGATCGTCACTTGTTTTTGGACCCAGCCTGAGTTCCTCATAGGTTTCATCAAGCTAATGACGTTAAACAAACGCTTCTTCGGAGGCAACCCAAGTGATTTATTGCTTTCTAGACATTTTCCTTTATGCTTATTAGTTTCATCTTTGAATAATTAGAGTTTTGGAGTTTTGTGGTCTTCTTGGCAGGAATTAGTTTTCGAGCTCGAGCAGAAGGATTGAGTTGAATGAGGAATATCGAGGTTCCGGGGCTGAGCGTCGGCGAGCGACTTGCACGTGAATGCTTATTCACCTCGATGCATTTACGGTTTGCATACCCTTTCTCTTTTTGTCTTTTTGAGTTTGTTTTCTTCTCCTATCTTTTCTTTTGAGTCTTGTGTTCTCGTGATAGCTGCTAGTATTGGTTCATGATATGAAATTGCTAGGTCCTATTATTTGACTTCCTGGTTTTGTGTTGAAGCAATGAGGTCGTTGCCTCATTTTAAGTGTGGGGGAGTTTACTTGGATTTTGCATGCTTATGTGGTGGACCGGTCTAGTGTAGGTTTTGTGTGTTTTTTGAATATGGACTTTGAAAATTTCAAGATAAGTTAAGACTTGTTTGATGAATTCGATGAGTTGTGATGTTGCTCATATGCGGCATAGCGTGATGAAATGCGTGGTTGATTACTTTGATTGGTATTCAAATATCTATCTAGTGAGGTTTGAGCCTCATTTGTTTTTGAGATACATTGGTCATGCTCTTGTTTGATTAGAACTTGCCCTGAGTCTGCATTGATATAAATTGATTAGAATTGTGAACTGTGTATATGATTAAGGCGTTTATTGTATTCTATCCTTTTCTTTCTCTACAAGTTATTCCCTAGTCTCCCTTTTTTTAGCCTTATAAGATTTTTGTTGATAACGTCGTGATGATGACGTTGTTGGAGTTCCGGGTTAAGAATTGGAGGGGATGATTGTTGGAGTTATTTTTATATTAAAAAAAATCAAAAGAAAAAAAAAAAAGCAAAAATGTAGCCGAATGGATTATAAAATATCCAATAAGTTTTACACAAAAAAAAGAAAAAAAAAAAGAAATAAAGTGGGTGAAACGTGTGGTTTTAGGAGAAGTGTGGGGGAAGATCTGGTATATTTGAACAACCGGCTGAGGGTAAGGCGTTTGAGTTATGTAATGAATTCGAGCCACTTAGCCTATATTTATCCTTCCAGTCCAAAGAGCCTATGCTACAACCCGGAAAGACCTTTTGATGCAAAGACAGACAAAAAATGCTTCAATAAAGCCAAATAAGTTATTTAACTCCCGGTTTCCCAAATTCCTATACCAGACAGGCTTCCCTCCAGGCATTGGAAATTCCTTCATAACATAGGGATATAGTGAGTTTACATCGTAGTAGTATAGGTTTTCACCATATGGCTTGTATACATCTGTATGACCTCCGTAGTAAGCACGCCTTATAAAGCTGTCTTCATTCATGTTCGGGATGTGGATAGGAAAAATGGAAGGGTCATAGTATTTCAATCGAAAGATTGAAAGAGCAAGTGAGGATAGGGTTATCTTGCTTTCAAGATCAACCCCATAAGTCCTCCAATATATTTCTTGAGCTTTCTGCATTATACCTCCAAGAGTTTCGATTTTGATTGATTTAGAGTAGAAGTTAGACAATGGGCAAGCATATGATTGAACTTGTTATCGACCAATTTGAGTGCATCCATCTTTATCTGTATAAGAATTCGAGTGAGGCACACACACACACACACACACACACAAAATTTGCGTGCATCCATCTAGGGAGAACGCCATGTCGAAGTATAGTGATCAAGCATGTAGTTGTGTGATACTCGTATATGCCATTTGAATGCTTGTTGTGAACATTTTGAAGCTTATCTTGTTAATGACTGATGCCTATGCTCTCCTCCCGTTTTAGGTCGTTTCTTTCGTTTTAGTCCGTTTCGTGTTTTATTATGTGTTTTTCTTCATTTTGAGTCTTTATGTGTTTTTCGTTCGTTTTTCCGGTTTTTCTTCGTGTTTTGTCGTTTATGGTGTGTAGATCGGGAGCTTCGTGCAAATTTTATCAACAGGAAAATTAGTTTGGAGAGCATAATTGAATATATGGGTTCGTTATCAACGCGTAGCAAAAAACGAAACTTAATTTCGACTTCGGACGAGCCCAAAGGAGCCCGAAACGTAAACTCATGCAGTGCAGCCAAAGTCGCGACTCGCGAGCACAAAGTCGCGACCCGTTTGATCCTGTTTTTATTTTTGCTCGTTTTTCTCGTTTTTTGCTCCGTTTTTTGAGATCTATATATTGAAACGACCCCCAGACTCGTGGGAATAATCCCAAAACTTGTTTTTCCTATTTCTCCTACTCTAGAATTCGGATTTGGAGCGTTCTTTTTGCTCTATTCTCTCTTGACTTTTCCAGATTAAGTTGTTCATCGAATTTGACTCTCGTTGCTCTATTAATCGTAAGTTATTCTTTTCATCTAATTCTTGAATATGAATTCTTGGGTTGAGAATAATGTTTATGTTGAATTCGTTATGAGTAGCTAATTCATTTCGCTAGGGATAGGGGATGATTATGATGTTTAGATTTTGAGTATGATTATCCTGTTTGTTGATCGTTCAATTTATGCGAGTTGTTCTTAACTAGGGTTTATAATTCTCGTGCATTGAATGTTGAATATTGTCGAAGAGTGACACTTAGATTTGCAATTGATTTCCAATTGAATATGATTTGTTCTTGTGTGATGTCTTTTAAATCTATCGAACTAGTAGATTAACAATCGTCTAGGATAATTTATTCAACTCTTAGAACCGAAAGGGGAGGATTTGGTTGATCTAGGATCGTATGAAATAGACTTGTTCGGAAATGTATGTCTATGTGTTGTGTGATTTGTTTGATTTACCGTCTATGTTATCCTCTTATTACGAAGAGTTATTGAGTACTATCTCTAGACGTTAGGTTGTTCGAATTATTTAACCGAATGATCTTAGCTTGATATTGCTTTGGTTAGAAAATCATCATCCCCGACTCCTTAGCTTCTTTATCATTGTCTAGTTTTCATTTTAGGTTGATTTATGTTTTCATATTATTTCTTAGTTAATAATTAATTCCAATCACCGTGATTAGTATGTTTAGGATTTATTTTGCATTTTTGTATCAACACCATTCCTAGATTCCGAATTGCCTTCCTCGAGAGATCGACCCGAGGTCGGGAGTCATCCCGTACTCGGTAAAAATATAATTTGCTACAACACTGCCTAACAGCCCTAGGCTGATGTCCGAACAGATTCCTGAGATTGAGAAGTATATCTGCCGCAGTGGTCATAGACTGATGCTGATGTTGAAGAACATTCGACATAGAAGCCAGAATGTAATACTTCGCCATCTCATCAGCTTTCTTCCACTTAGCATACTGCTCTTTCTCCTGATCAGGAGCATCGGCCGCGGGCTCTGCCGGGCAAGCCTCATTGATGGCAAACTTATAGCCCTCAACAGTCAACACTATGTCTAAGTTCCTCTTCCCATCAATGTAATTAGGACCAGTAAGGTGATTTTCTTTTAGAATGACAGACAACGGATTGAACGACATGATGAATGCAGCCTGAGAATCATGAAAATAAATTTTACAGATGAAACACTTTTGAATTTAACTATTAACATTGATATCCTCAAGACAATATTAACTTAAATTCACCGACATCTCAAAACACCGTGAGTAATGCATGATACAAGGGTAATCCTACATACTCAACATTCGCCAGAGAAGGGCTTTTCAAGAACCCATTAATTTTCCTAAGTCAAAACCAAATTCACGACGAACGAAATTAATAGTCGGTCTCTGTTTGGCCATGCAATAAAATTCAGGGACCCCTAGGGAGTTAATAAATTAAATCTTATTTTAAATGAATCTCATTTCTCGATCCTAAGGTCATCCAATTTGATTGTACATCCCCCGAGGGGAGGCAAGTACGATCTCATAAGACTTCCTATAATCTTCTAATTAGAAATTCATCCTGGTAATTACCTACAATTAATTTTAGTGATGCCACCCGAATGGAGCCCATACTTCAATTAATTGATTTACCGACAAATTAGAAATGGAGGCTTTAGGAATTTTGAAATTAACTTTAATTTAAAATCCCTTCTCAAACTTAGTATTATTTAGATGAGGATTTTTAAATATTTATACAATTCCAAATTAATCCCATGCAAATGCAATAATTAATTAACATGCATAATACTTCATGCAATTCTAAATTAATCTAATGCAAAACCAATAATTAATTAACATGCATAATTATTCATGCAAATCTAAATTAATCCCATGCAAAAGAAATAATTAATTAACATGCATAAATAAATCGGTAAATTCAACTTAAACCCCTACTACCCTTTTCATCTTCCAAATCAGTCACCCTCTTAATTTTTTTCCTCTGCACTCCCTTTCACTAATTTTCTCTTCCATTTCACTCCCCATATATATATATATATATATACTATTATTATTATTCATTTATTTTACTTCAAAATCATAAAAAATAGAAAAAAATTGAAAAACTCTCTCTCTCTCAATTCTCGTCTCTCGTCTTTCACTCTCTTAATCGTTCTCTCAATTCCCGTCACTCTCTTTCTCTCCGTGAAATCGCCTCAAGGAAGTCAGGATCTCGGGCGTCCGAATCGACGCCCAGGAAGAGCTCGCGAAGCCCATCCACTACCGCAAGATGTTGGGCCCTGATGTAGAGGATGTATACGAAAGGGAATAAGAACACAAGAACTGTTCACTGTTTTCTCAAAATGATAATACAATGAATGAGATTTCTGTTCACTGTGTGGGTACAAAATAGGAAGAGCCCACTACTCTTTAACTTCCTAAAATAACTGCTATATTAATTAATTATCTGACCCACTAATAGAAATAACAAAACTAAAAATGATAATGAATAAAAATACGACAAATGAGAAAGACCGGGAACATAAATAATCTAAACTCGGAGACGGTCATATTTCTGTAGAAACGCCAACGCGGCCTCGTCTCTATCATCCTCTCCGGGTTGAGGAAAATTCACCCTCGAATCCGAATGGGCCTCGTCTTCGTCTGAGTTGTCGACCACGAACGGCACCAAATGCTTGACATTAAAAACATTCGATGTGCGAATATGCGACGGGAGCCTGAGACGGTAGGCGTTGAGATTGATCTTTTCCACAACCTTGACCGGACCAATTTTCTGGGCAGACAGTTTGTTATACTCATGAGCAGAAAATCTGTCCTTAGTTAAAACAGCCCAAACAAAATCACCTACCTCGAACTCCACATGACGACGACGAGTATCAGCTTGCTTCTTATAAGAAGCTGTAGCCGCCTCCAAATGGGCCTGGGCCGCCGCATGTGTCTGCTGCACGTCGGTGATGAAATCCGACGCACGGCGATCCCCACCGGAGTCAGACGACAACGTCACCAAGGCGGATGGCCCATGCGGATGCATGTCGTACACCACCTGAAAAGAAGGGAACCCAGTCACACGGCTAACTGCTGAATTATGTGCGAACTCCGCTCGACTCAGATGCTGATCCCAACTTCGAATATTATCTCCCACGAAACAATGAAGCAGGTTCCCTAAGGAGCGATTGGCAACCTCAGTCTGACCGTCCGTCTGAGGATGATAGGCCCTACAGAAGTTGAGCCTTGTGTCAGCTATGCGCCACAAACTCCTCCAAAAATAGCTCAAAAAGCGGGTATCACGATAAAAAACAATCGCCAAAGGCAAGCCGTGAAGACTGTAGATCTCTCTGAAAAACAATTGGGCCACATGAACAACATTAGAGGTATGCTTACAAGGAATGAAGTGCGCCATCTTCGAAAAACGGTCCACCACCACAAAAATAGAATCAAATCCCCGCTGTGTACGTGGCAATCCAACCACGAAGTCCATACTGATCGCTTGCCACGGCTGCGACGGGATAGGTAGGGGTCGGTACAAATCAGCATTGGTCGCAACCCCCTTCGAAACCTGACAGATACGACAACGAGACACAAAACTCCCAACATCACGGCGCAGAGACGACAAAAAATAAGAGCGACTCACCAAATCGACGGACCGGTCGCGGCCCACGTGGCCGGTGTTATGAAGATTGGCAATAAGCTTCAGCCGCAAACTGCAGTCCGGAACACACAGACGAACTCCTCGAAACAAAAACCCATCAGATAACGTATAGTCCTCAAAAGGGCCGTCCCTCAAACGGGTCACAATAGGCCCAAAAAAAGAGTCATCAGGATAGACATCACGAAGTACCTCAAAGCCAATCACCGACACTCGCATCTCTGACAGCACTAGCACCCGACGGCTCAAAGCATCAACAACTTTGTTTGAAGTGCCCGACCGGTGGCAAAGGACAATTGCATTTGGTTTGTAATTTTGTATTTTCTTCTCATTATATTTTATTAATCTAAGAATTCATTTTCGATATATTT